TGGGGGCCAAAGGAATTTTTTCACGGTGGGGGGTTTTTTCCGTTTTTTTTTTTTTGGTTAAAGGGGGGGTGGGGGGGGGGGCGGGGGGGCTTTTTGTTCCCCCAAAGGGAAAATTAAAAAAAAAACTTTAATTATTAGTTTTTTTTTTTAATTTTTTTATTTTCTTGTGATTTTTTTTCTTCTCTTTGATTTTTATTTTGTTTGTAAAGAAACAAGCGTTAAGTTTACACAGTATAGTGATGTCAGTTAATTTAAAAAGTCATTAAATTTCTGCATCCTCAGTCGCTGTATGACTTTTTTATTCTATTTCTTTTATAGAATGTCATCAGCTGCATCTTAAAATACAGACAAGCAGTAATGAGACGAGATTCAGACAGACAGACAGGCAGACCACGCAGACAGACAAGACAGACAGGCAGTACGAGTGATCAACATGATCAGATCATGATCAGGTTCATTGGGATTCTAGACAGACAGACAGGCAAGGCAGACACCCGGAGCGAGGAGAGAGCAGACGGCAGAACGCCAGAACAGAACAGACAGACAAGGACAGAACAGACAGACAGACAGAGCTTTCAGATTTCAGATCAGTCTATATTGCAGGGCTTGCGCCCTATTCAGATCAGTTTTGCAGATCAGGTTACTATGACAGACAGGCCAGACACGCATGTATCAGATCATGACAGTCACGCCCAGACAGACAGACAGAACAGAACAGACAGCAAGCAGACAGACAAGACAGACAGACAGACAGACAGTCAGACAGACAGACAGAACAGAACAGACAACGACACGACAGACAGACCAGGCAGACAACAGACAGAACAGACAGCAAGTCCATCTGATCCGGCCTCCCAGTCCTCCTCTTTGCCATTCATCTATCCAGAGCCGTAGATGCACTGAGGTACAATGTAGAGGGGGGGGAAGAATTCGATCGGCCTCTCCGAAATAACTACTAGCGAAAAACCCCCACACCTATTATTCTCTTCTTTTTTTTCCTCCTTCCTCTCTTATGATGAGATTGATTTTATCTTCCCATTTTATTTATTCTTGATATGTCTCGGGACGAGGGAGCGTTCATTCACCGCGGAAACATCATTCTGGCTTCTGGAAGAGCATGCGAGGCGACTCTGCCAGCCGGTGAGACAGGACCTGCCTGTCTGTCTGTCTGTTGTTCGTCGCCTGTCTGTCTGTCTGTCTGTGGGCGTGGGCGTCTTTCTGGGTTCTGTATCTTGTCTCCTGCTCTGTATCATGTCTGCTACTGTCTAAGTCTGCTGTACTGACCTGATCTGTGCTCGTCTGTCATGTCTGTCTGCCTGTCTGTCGTCATGTCTGCGTGTCTAGCCTGTCTAGTCTTTTCTAGTCTGCCTGAATTCAAAATGTACATGATACATGCTGTCTCTGTCTGCTCTTTGTCTGTCGCGGCTCTGTCTGGGTGCCTGTGGGCATGATCGATCGTACATGACGGTCTGCCTGTCTGTCTGTCATGTCGTCTGCTGTCTGCTCATGTCTGTCTGCTGCGTGGCGGGTTCGGCTCGTCTGTCTTGCCTGTCTGTTCTGTCTGTCTGCGTGTCTGCCTGTCTGTCTTCTTGCTCTGGTCTGTCTCTCTGCCTGTCTGTAATTAAGATCAGCTGATGACATCATAGATGATATCATCAGCTGACTGGGTCAGTTAATGACTTTTTATTAACTGACATCACTTCCTGTGTAACTTCCTGTTTCTTTACAAACAAATAAAAGAATCAAAGAGAAGAAAATACACAGAATATTATTTTAATATGTTAATATCGACATTAATATAATATTATTATATTATTATAACATTATTAATATATTACTAATATATTTCAATACTATTATTATAACATTATTATATTATTATTATTATTATATGTATTAATTATTATTATTATATCAGCAACAGACACTGACAGCAAACCGCTCAGATAGGAAGTGTGGTGTGTGGTGTTGTGTGTGTGTCACCACAGCGCTGGGTGTATTTTCCTGTTTCTATTTTAACTTTGCAGCTGCACAAAGAAAATACAATTAACTATATAAAATAAAAATAGGTTAGTTAATAATAATAAATACAAACTGGATATACGCCGCTGTCATTGATCGACATCATCTGGAGTGATGATTGGTCGGAGTCAGCGGGTCGTTCTCTGCTGAGGTCAAAGGTCAGATGTATAGAAATAAATCAATGAATTCAATAAAATGTTTTTTTATTACTTCTTTAGTTGCTCAATATCGATTACTTAATATATAACAATATAAACACACACTGTTTTATTTAATAAACTGACTTAAAATGTACTAAAATATAATATTAGGCATTATTACATCGTACTGAATTACTATTACTTGATTGACTTATTTTAATGATGGTTAGCACCTTACAGTTATTACATTTGGTGCATATAATAGATGTATATTGCTTTTGATAAAATCTACTTTAAAAACTAATGAATCAATTGTATTGATCGTTTGTGCCTGCTGTGTTGTGGTGTGTGTGTGTTGTGGTGTGGTGTGTGTGCAGGTCTTGGTTCAGGAACAGATGAGTCTAGAAAGAGCTGCCGAACTTAATGTGCAGCGAACACCTGTTATTAGCCGGTACGTCAAGATGATTCTTTAATGTTCATTATTATCTTGTATTTTTTATTTCTTTAATTTTCTTTATTTCTTATTCTTTTTTTTTATCTTTTAAAATTGTTCGTCGCAGATTAAATAATCTGATTTTAACTAGATTTCATGCGTCGATAAACGATCAAACAAGGGGATCTGGAAATTCCGATCCATCATGATGTTCATTTGTAAAGAAAGACGAGAACAAACAGGCTTTTTAAAATGTTTGTTTTCTGAATGGAGTTTGGTTAATGGTCGGTGGCTATGCCCTAAACTGTAGGGGTTCCTGGCGTAAAGTAAAAACCTGTGTTTTGCTTATTTTTCAGCAGTGAATGAAACCGGCCGCTCGGACCAGCTGGGACCGGACCTTCTCTTTCCTCCCTTGTAATGAACGGAGCCATTTATCTTAAAGACTCCGCCCTGAGGCCTTCGAGACCTCGCGCCCCTTGAGCCTGTCGGACCTTCTGATAGCCTACGAAGCCTCCCCGTAAACTGCCCTGACATAGAAAGTATGTACACTTGAAGAGCAAAGCACTGGCCACCTAAATCAGTCAGCTACAAGCGGGAAACAAAACACATCTCCCCTCTGAAGGGTTATCACTTGCATTTTGTCGTCTTTCTTTTCGCGGTCATTGTCGGAAAATAATTCGAGAACTTCCTGGGAGATCAGTAGGGCCAGACGGGGAGAATCCTGACTGAGCTGAAGGGAGGGTTTTGGTTTCGTCCTTTTTTCGGACGTCTGCAGGGGTCCAATTATTCACCAGCACCAAAAAAACAAAAAAAACCCAATGGCAGGCGGACTACATCTCCCAGCATGCCTGGACAACGTCCACGGTTGTTACCAGGCTTCAAACTCATCCAGGAAACATTTTTTATTGTTAAGATAAAAAACAATGTTGTTTCTTGGTACATTTCACCACTAGAGGGCGGGACATCACGGCCATTTCACGTCAGTATTAATGGGGGCTTCATTTCCCCACACCAATTCCCGTTTTTATTCAGGGACCCGTGAATGGACAGAAAGTCTGTGGTTTTTTTATTAGGGAGAAAACTGGCGAAAAAAAGGGGTTTCAAATTATATTAAAAAAAAAAAAATAAGACTACATTTCCCAGCATTCACAGGGACATTTAGACCACTGCCCTCCCGTTAAACCTCGTGCTGCTCTGGAGTGTTTCCTCAGTGGACTTCATTTCCCAGGATGCTTCACTCTGCTCAGCTGTGCTCAAGGATTATTACCCCCCCCCCTCTGTGGCCTCAGTGATGACATCATTGGACTTTAACTCCCAGGATGCTTCACTCTGCCCAGCCTCACTGCTGGTGCTGAATGATGAAAGACTCTTGTTTAAGGAGGCGGGAAAGTCCCGTTAATTGTGGTGTGGTGTGGTGTGTGTGTGTGTGATGTCATATGTTCTTAATTTTCCACCAGTTTAAATATAAAACGTTGCTTCACTGAACTCTGGACGCACAGTTCAAAACCTCCATTAGAAAATTGCTTGTTTTTGAAACATGTGGCGTCTTTCTGTTCATTTGACTACTCAAGCTGTGGGTCGGGGCCCTAAACGGGTCTCAGTGCGACATATTTTATCAGAAAGTGTGTGAACTTTTCACTTTGGACTCCACGTTGAGACATTTTGTTTAAAACATTTCATGCTGCGTCTGGTGGGAAGATCCACTGCTTTATATCAGAACCTTTTTATTAACATGTTTCTTTGATCAAACATTCGATCAGCTGAATCAGGGAAGCAGAGCGCTGACGTCGGCAGTCTGAGGCAGATGTGTGTGAGGGAAAGAATAAAATCCTTTGTTTAGTTTCTTTAAAAACAACAACTTTTATTAAATATGTGATGGTTCACATCCCCCCAAAAAGTTTAATTCCTGCACTTTATAAAAACCAGGACGGGACCACACAACCAAACTCTATACAAATATCTGTGTATTTAAACAAGCACAAGAATACATTATAGTGGAATAATATTTAACTGTTCTATAACAGATCTCCCTTTATTATGGTCTAAATATTTCAGAGCCTTCTCTTCAGTGGGAGGTTTGTGATTCAGGCGAAGAATAGATTTAATTTATTTAGTTTGATTTTAAAACATGTAATTGTGGAACAGAAGCTCCGGTTCATGTCTGCACCAGACTCCATTCGAAAAACTATCAATTTAACATGTGACTGTAAAAAAGACTCATCAGAGTTTGGTCATTTATGTCTCTGGCTTCATAAAACTAACAGCAGAACAACAACAAGTATTGATATAAGTCGGATTATTGATTGATTGATTGATTTTCAGCTCATTCTTCTGCTGTAACTGTAACAATCTCCTCTCCACGTTAAATTATGATTACAAATGAAACATTCAAACAGAAACATGTGATGACATCTGCGAACACTCAGCTGTTGTCTACACCACTGCTGAGTGGTTGCCGTGGAAACCACTGAGTCACAGCGTTCCCCCTCGCCGTGGTGACCGGCCACTTCCTCCCTGCGGCCGAGACTGAAGAGGCCAAAACGTCTATTTAAGGAAAATCTGAGCTGTCTCAGTTTCTTCAGAACAGCCTGATGTGTTCACTGCACTCCTCAGAGCGTGGGAGTTTTTAACCCTGCAGGGTTCACATGGGACTTTTTAAAACCACAATTTGCTGATCTGACGTCGTGTGACTCTCATTCGATCAGCTGACAACAAAATCAACAACAGCCTCTAACGTGGAGCCAGAAACAGGAATCACGAGACGGAGCGAACACACCTGCTGTTCTTTTTCTGCTGTTGTATTTCTGACAGAGCAGCTGCAGTTACCGTTAGTAACCACAGGCGGCGCCACCACGACTGAAATCTGAATGTTCAACTTTTAGACGCTGTGTTATTCACGACAGAAAAATAAAAACAGATCAGGACGACGTTATAACGTTATTGCGACATACAAACTCATCACGTTATGACTCAGATATGCTAAATGCTAAGCTAGTCTGTGGCGAAGGTATATATACATAAGATGCTATTCAATCGTTAGTTAGCTAGTTAGCTGACTTAAGATGAGACTTTATATTTGTCTCTTTCATCTTTTAACCATCTTCAAACTGTGGTTGTCTTTTCAACATAGATTAGCTTAGCATGTAGCATATCTGAGTACAGGAGAGGAGGAAGTTGACCGAGGTTTGTTCAACTGTTTACAGACGATAGTGAGATATTCACAGGAGGAAACTGTGAGGGTCTGTAATGGTCTGTGGGGAGGGTCCTGTAATGCGTGCTATCTCCCTGTGAGCGGTCTGTGGGAGGGTCTGTTTAATGGTCTCGCTGGAGGTCTGGTAATGGTCTGTTGAGGGTCTGTGAGGGGGTCTGTAATGGTCTGTGAGGGTCTGTGATTGTTTGAGTGGCGTATGCTGGTTTCTGTAGTTTCGTTGTTTGTTTACAGGCTCAACAGAATCTGAGCTCGCGTGGGATCTGACTATTACATGGAGCGGGTTCAGGTGTTGGTCTGACTGTTTCTCAGGATCGCTCTGGTTCCTTTTGTTTATCGCCACCGTAGTTCCTCTCCTCCTCTTCCTCTTCCTCTTCGGATTCCCCTCCGTCGACACTGGAGAGCACTTTCCCTCACAGCGAGCGGTTCTCACCTCGCTGATCAAAGCCTTCTTATTATCCAATGATTTTTATGCTTTTGTTGTTGTTGTTGTTTATCAAAGATGTTGATTTGTTGAGCTGTTTGTATTATTGTGCAACCTCTTCCTGAACATACTCAGTATTGTATGAATGCTTCTATTAAGAGTATTGATCATCAGACATTTCAGTCACACTCATTTTACAGCTGTAATAACACTGACTGTACTGAAGTGAACGTCAGTTTGGGGACGTATTGATTGATTGATTGATTGATTGATTGACAGCTGTAAAGTGGATAAATGAGAAACTTCCTGCTGTTTTAATGACAATCTGCCGACAGGTGAGATTTGAGAAACACGTCCAGCTTTATTTTGAAGATGGCTAATGCTAATGCTACAGAGGAGGCACAATGTGGAAAAAAGTGATTAAAGTCAGAATTTTACAGTCCAGAAGATCATATTTGAACTTGTGTGGACAGAAGTTATATAACATACTGTAACAGTTCAGTAAGTAATATTAGACATGTATCTTATTATCTTAGGAACACAAATGATTAACTTGTGCTGTGTCGTGTTGGGAGAATTATTTGAGATAATTTGAGTAAATTAGATAAAAATATGTAAACGAGACTGAAAGCAAACATGAGATTATAAATTCTGGGAACAAGAAATAATAACTTGTGAATAACTGATTCAAAGCAGATGAGAACTTGTGTAAACGAGAGAATAACGTTTGTGAAGAAGTAACGGATCAATAACTTAACACACGAGTTAAATATAATCTTTCAGGACTGAAACGATGAAATTCTGAGAAAAAGTCACAATCCTGAAAATGTCCCTCCTCACTCGCTGTCAACAATATCAGAATAAATGAATTTATTTCCATTTCTGTCTGTGTGACGGATTGTTTCCTCGTTTGTTTCCTCTCCGCTGTGTTCGTTTGAAGAGAAATCACAATGATGAAGATAGCAGTAACGTTAGCGAGCGAGCTAAGGTTAGCCAGGTTTGAAGGTAACTAGCTATGTAACCTTTATTGATCATTATCCGATCACATCTGTCTGTAATCAACCTGCTAACAACAGATATAGATAAGTGTTAAGGTGTGACTATATGATATAAAACATTATGTCACTTTTACCTTTAAACAAACAAACATGTTGTTTGTTGTTGTTGTTTATTGATTCCACTTAAAAAAATACACAAACTATGGAGGAGAATTATTAAGCAGTTTATTTCCTGTAAATATTAAAAAAGTAGTAATTCATTAAAGTTACAGGTTAGTTGAAGACAATGATTTATAGATAAAAGTAACATATGATGATTCACACAGAGACACAGTCAGCTGATAATGTACAGAGTGTGTGTGTGTGTG